GTTTTTGCAGAGTCATATACGTGTGCATTTTGGTAATGATTTGGTAATGATTTTATTTAGTGTACCACCTGTAAATTTCACATCTTCAAATATCTTACGCACTTTAAGAAAGATCACATTTTTGTAAATGGCTTACAAATCACACACTTTTTTGCTTTAATGAAAATAAATAAATGCCTCATTTTGAATATAGCAAAAATTCTGTGACTATTCATTACAAAATTGGTCTTAGGATGGAAAATTTTTGTAATATTGGGCAAAAATGGTATGCCATAAATGAGAAAATCGCACACTTTGAGACTACAACGTATCACATATGGATAGACCAAAACTACATGAATTAATCTTAAATAATCTTAAATACTCTAAACAAGGATCACATTTTTTAAATATTTTTTCTAGCATGAAAATAAATTCTTGATTTCAATCATGCCGTAAATTCTTGGGTTATATATTATAACATTTTTAAATCCGGACAAACAAGGCCATAAATTTCTGGAAGCAATCTTACCGTTTTCATTACCATGCAGAAGATCCATCATGCATTTATCTTAAATATTTTTAATTCTTTTAAACACTGCCCACATTTTATAAATGGTTTCCAAAGTACGCATTTTTAACCGGCATGAAAACATGGATGGGTAAACGATTCCTTTTGACTGTGACATAAATTCTGTGACTTCCATTATAAGATTGGCCTTATCGTGCGTGGTGCATTTTTTAATACTGGACAAATTTGGCGTGCCATAAGTTTCCTGGTACAAGTATAAATGCAACCCTACCGTTTTATTTCATTACCATGTAAAATAGGAGACAATAATCTTACTATATTTTTGTCAGAAATCGGGATGACTGACTTGGGAATGACAAGTGAATTTTTGACATTTTGTTTCATGGCTAATTTATACTCGTCATTTTAGCGTCATTTTGATTTCACTTTCACGATCAACTCAATTTATACTTTTTCAGTTTCATTTTGCTTTCATGAAAAATTAACGCCATGTCAACAGCAAAATGATTACAATTTATAGTTGCGTTCATTTCAGTTGGCTTTCATTTTGGTTTCATTTTCACGCCGTTTTCCAAAGTTGAAAGCCATTCAACTTTTGGAAAATGAAAATGGCGTTAATTTATTTATAATCAATTGTAACTATGGTTGCACTATATCAGGCTGCATTGTAGGGTTTGCATATTGTACTTTTACTTGTTACGTCCTGTATCCTAGGTTTTATTTTGTGACATGTTAAATATTTTTGTTTTATTTTGCTTTTCTGAACCGTAGTTTAGGGCAACAATTTGGATTCCTTCCAAATTCGGGATTTTAATTTATAGTTGCTGTGAAAGCAGAATGAAATGATCGGAAAATTAATATTTCATGAATTTCTGTGAAAAAGTATAAATTACAAAAGATGAAAATGACGCGAAAGCTATAGTGAAATTAAAACTAAATGAAAATGAAATGACGAGTATAAACACGGGGTTACAAATCATGCATTTTTTTACCGGTACGAAAATAAACGCGTCATTTTGACTATGGCATAAATTCTGTGAATATCTTATATTATAAGCTGGAAATGTCTTTTGGCAACGGAAGTGAAAGTGATTTTCCGTGACGGAAGTGAAAGTGGAAGAAAGTTTCATTTCCCTTGCTAACACACATTTCCAGCAAATAATATAGATACGATAAAAAAATAATTCGGTGGAATTAATTATGAACAATCGTACTTAATTTTCATGAAATCAACTAAGCCGGCGGGAGACGGCTTATACGCTAGTTTATTAGAAAATTGACTTATGATGGCATTTTCTAAATACCGATAAATGGGAATGCCATAAATTGGAAAATCGCTGAGTTTGAAACTTTGATGCATTACACATTAATCTATAGATAGACAAAAGATGCATGGATTCATCTTCAATATTTTAAATGATTCAACAAAACTCACATTTTGTAAATGGCTTAGGAATCATGCAGTTCTTACCGGTATGCAAATGTGTATAGGTAAATGCTTCATTTTAAGTGTGACATACTATTGCTTTCAGACTCTCCATACACCCAAAAGAGCTTTGGATCAAGCAAGTCCGACGTCGAAAAAGGCGTCCAGGCACGACGTCCAAAATTAATGTGCCGAGCCGAATTATCCTATTATTTAACACCAGTTTATTTATTTTTAATTATTCAATTCGTGGCAAGAATTGGGTAGTTGAGTGACTTCTACGCCAAAATAAAATAAACTGGTGTTAAATAATAGGATAATTCGGCTTGGCGGCTAATATAATTCTTGGACGTCGTGCCTGGACGCCTTTTTCGACGTCGGACTTGCTTGATCCAAAGCTCTTTTGGGTGTATGGAGAGTCTGAAAGCAATAGTATGTCACACTTAAAATGAAGCATTTACCTATACACATTTGCATACCGGTAAGAACTGCATGATTCCTAAGCCATTTACAAAATGTGAGTTTTTGTTTGAATCATTTAAAATATTGAAGATGAATCCATGCATCTTTTGTCTATCTATAGATTAATGTGTAATGCATCAAAGTTTCAAACTCAGCGATTTTCCAATTTATGGCATTCCCTATTTATCCGGTATTTAGAAAATGCCATCATAAGTCCAATTTTCTAATAAACTAGCGTATAAGCCCGTCTCCCGCCGGGCTTAGTTGATTTTCATGAAAATTAAGTACGATTGTTCATAATTAATTCCACCGAATTATTTTTTTTATCGTATCTATATTATTTGCTGGAAATGTGTGTTAGCAAGGGAAATGAAACTTTCTCCACTTTCACTTCCGTCACGGAAAATCACTTTCACTTCCGTTGCCAAAAGACATTTCCAGCTTATAATATAAGATATTCACAGAATTTATGCCATAGTCAAAATGACGCGTTTATTTTCGTACCGGTAAAAAAATGCATGATTTGTAACCCCGTGTTTATACTCGTCATTTCATTTTCATTTAGTTTTAATTTCACTATAGCTTTCGCGTCATTTTCATCTTTGTAATTTATACTTTTTCACAGAAATTCATGAAATATTAATTTTCCGATCATTTCATTCTGCTTTCACAGCAACTATAAATTAAAATCCCGAATTTGGAAGGAATCCAAATTGTTGCCCTAAACTACGGTTCAGAAAAGCAAAATAAAACAAAAATATTTAACATGTCACAAAATAAAACCTAGGATACAGGACGTAACAAGTAAAAGTACAATATGCAAACCCTACAATGCAGCCTGATATAGTGCAACCATAGTTACAATTGATTATAAATAAATTAACGCCATTTTCATTTTCCAAAAGTTGAATGGCTTTCACTTTGGAAAACGGCGTGAAAATGAAACCAAAATGAAAGCCAACTGAAATGAACGCAACTATAAATTGTAATCATTTTGCTGTTGACATGGCGTTAATTTTTCATGAAAGCAAAATGAAACTGAAAAAGTATAAATTGAGTTGATCGTGAAAGTGAAATCAAAATGACGCTAAAATGACGAGTATAAATTAGCCATGAAACAAAATGTCAAAAATTCACTTGTCATTCCCAAGTCAGTCATCCCGATTTCTGACAAAAATATAGTAAGATTATTGTCTCCTATTTTACATGGTAATGAAATGAAAACGGTAGGGTTGCATTTATACTTGTACCCAGGAAACTTATGGCACGCCAAATTTGTCCAGTATTAAAAAATGCACCACGCCACGATAAGGCCAATCTTATAATGGAAGTCACAGAATTTATGTCACAGTCAAAAGGAATCGTTTACCCATCCATGTTTTCATGCCGGTTAAAAATGCGTACTTTGGAAACCATTTATAAAATGTGGGCAGTGTTTAAAAGAATTAAAAATATTTTAAGATGAAATGCATGATGGATCTTCTGCATGGTAATGAAAACGGTAAGATTGCTTCCAGAAATTTATGGCCTTGTTTGTCCGGTATTTAAAAATGTTATAATATATAACCCAAGAATTTACGGCATGATTGAAATCAAGAATTTATTTTCATGCTAGAAAAAATATTTAAAAAATGTGATCCTTGTTTAGAGTATTTAAGATTATTTAAGATTAATTCATGTAGTTTTGGTCTATCCATATGTGATACGTTGTAGTCTCAAAGTGTGCGATTTTCTCATTTATGGCATACCATTTTTGCCCAATATTACAAAAATTTTCCATCCTAAGACCAATTTTGTAATGAATAGTCACAGAATTTTTGCTATATTCAAAATGAGGCATTTATTTATTTTCATTAAAGCAAAAAAGTGTGTGATTTGTAAGCCATTTACAAAAATGTGATCTTTCTTAAAGTGCGTAAGATATTTGAAGATGTGAAATTTACAGGTGGTACACTAAATAAAATCATTACCAAATCATTACCAAAATGCACACGTATATGACTCTGCAAAAACGGTAATAATAACCACCGGCTGGTAAAGAAATTGATTGAACCCGAAGTGGTAATAAAGAACACCTTTAGGGATAAAATCAATACCGTGATGTATGACAGATGTACTACAATATGTAGTAAAATGTCTACCGCCTGGTAATAAACCATACCACTTTGTACACGGCGTGCTACTCATACCGGTATTAATGCTTTTTATATGTATACCCCATTATTACCAAATGTTGTGCAGATTTCCACCGAAAATAATACATTTATTTATTTCTTTACAATAATCTTTCAATCAATTATATTTATTGTAAAATCATTTTGAAACATATGTACTTACATGATTATAAAATTTAAGTATAATGCAAACTATGGTTTTTGACACTCGTCTGTCCCCCTTCAAATTCCGATGAATCTCCAGTCGATTTTGGATGAGCCCACACCGGTTGACGTCTTGCAGAAAAATCTCTGTTCTGATTTCCAACTCAAATTTTGCTTCACTGAAAAAAATAAACATAACATTATTATTTACTCGTTCCTATTAAGATGGTGGTCGTGCTCGATCACCATCTTCAAGGCACCTACATATGATAATTTGATACTTACCTGTTTCCAAAAATTCTATATAATTTCCAGAAGTTTTTATCACTTTCTTCCACGGGCAGAATAGGATTAATTTCGCCATTTTGACTTGAGTTGAGCTGAGCAGAAACTAAAACTGAAAAATGCGCCACTGTGTAGCGTCTCACAATCCATACCAAATGTATTAAAATTCTTACCACTATGGTAATAAACCACACCAAAATGTAGATCTCGTCAGCACCACAACTTGTAGTGCACTTGATTAAAATTATGGTAAAGAATGTTATCTAAATTTGAAGGATATAATTACCAGCTCGTAGGAATTTATTACCAAAATTATAAAGATAACTTAAAATATTGTGGTGGAAGGCCAGTTACCCGGTTGGTATTGATACGGTAATAATCCGGTATAATTTTTGTAGGACGCGTCATTACCAAGAGCTCGGTAAAGACGCTTATTAGGAATTATTTACCAAGTTGCTAAGAGTGTACGGTAATGAAATCGGTACGGTTGCGTTTATTTGTTCCCAGAGAATTTAGGCATTTATGCCATTTATGGCATTTATGCCATTTATGGCATTTATGCCATTTATGGCATTTATGCCATTTATACCCTCTTTGTCCAGTATTTAAAAATACGCCACTCCACGATAAGGACAATGTTATAATTAAGAATTTGAGAATTTATGTCAGACTCAAAATGAGGCATAATATTTGCTCGCATGTAAAAAAATGTATGACTTGTAAGCCATGTACAAAATGTGGAATTTAAATTTTTATAATATGAGCTGAACTAAGATGGGATGCATTTTCATCGGTTAATTTGTGACGAATATTTTGAAACCATAATCCCAAGCAACAAAATTCATTTCAAAACAGACAAAAATTAATGAAAAACGCAAGTTTGAAATCAATTTACAAACAGTGGGAGATATTTGATTAAAGAATTTTAAGATAAATACGGGAAACTTTCTGTAAATATTTTAATGAAAACCGGTACGGAAGGGTATTCCGTCTCCGGGTTTTACTGGGTCGAATACTAATCGCAAGTCGGGCATTCTCGCATTTATTGCATGCCTGTTTGTCCTGTTTTTTTAATATTAAATATTCCAAGCCAGAATTTTATAAATTTTATTTTTAATAAATTTTTATTTTTTATTTAAATTTATTTTCAATTTTAAGACAAAATCAATATCATAATAATTACTCACAGAATTTACGTACGCCAAAGTCAAAATGAGGCATTTAAATATTTTCATCCTGGTAAAGAGTGTATGATCTGTAAGCCATTTACAAAATGTAGACTCTGATTAAAGGGTTCAAAGTATTTTAAGATGAAATGTCAGTTTTTGATTTTGGTATAGGTACATTAAATCCTGGAATGCGTCACAGTGTCAAATTAATTAGCTCTTTGGGCCGCGATATTCGCATTGGTGGCATGTCCAATATTTTAAAATGTTTCATAATAAATAACTCTTGTAATAAAAATAGTCAAAGAATTCTCGCCCCATTTTAAAATGAGACGTTTATGTACACATGACACCACAACCACCAATTTTTTTCAATTTAAATAAAATTCTCATCACCGAAAAATTCAAAAATGCCAAACTTGTGTCAAAATGGCTAATATAAATTAGCATTTATTAACACGTCAAAAATGCAAGATTTGAATGCCATTTACAAATTATTGAATTTGTTTTTAATTAGCAAAGTAATTCAAGATAATTCCGGCATCCGAAGTTCGGGTAAAATGCACCTTCACTATTTTGAAACAACTACCACCACCAAGTTATCTTACACAAATAAAATAAAATTCCCATCACCAAAAATCCCACAATTTCAAAAAATTTTAAAAAAATTTAAATTTTCCATAACGGAATTAATAATACGAATAAGATAAATTTAAATAAATAAATCAAATAAATAAAAATTTAAATAAATCGAGACGAATTTTGACGCTCTTATCTTTACCACTAGTCCGACTTATCGTAAGTCTCCGCTTTCTTTTAGTTCCACCCAGATTATTCGGGGCTGGACCCCCTCATCCTAAATTAACCCGGGGATGGGTCGGCACACCCACGACGAACGGAGATTAGCTCGTCTGAACCACGCGGCGATGATTATTTCCGTCATAACTGAACTTTTTACTCGTTTTCGTCGTCGTGGCGTTATCCACGTCGAAATTTGCATCGGTCTCCTTCTTCGTGGCCGCAGCGGCGGCCGATTTGTCTCGCGCTTTGCCTCTCATAATGTCAAAAACCTACTCCAAGCAACTTTGTGGGGCCTTTTAAGATGGCATTAATGGCATCTTGGTAGTTAATGGTAACACATTTGGGTGGAAATGACCCCCACCGGCCAACCACTTGACCGATCATGCTCATCTCCGAACTCATCCTTACTTTTTTTTAACCGAAGATGAAGCATGCAAAATTTCAACTCGATAGCTTTTGCTTAAAGAGAGTGATCGTGCCTACAGACGGACGGACAGACAGACATCTTGACAAATCTATAAGGCCATCTTAAAAGGCCTAAAACGGTGGAAACGACCTCCTCCGCAATGCCGAAGGGGGCAACGGCTCGCACCACGGTCACGATGCGTAAATTTATCAGAGTTGATCAAAATTCAGTATTTTGAGCTCCGTCCTTCCCAGAGTTTGGAATTCCGGAGCTGTTACACCCATAAAAAGGCGAGAATTTATGTCATGTAGAAAATGAGGTACTTATTTTCATGTCAGTAAAGAGGTCTACTAACGAGTTATGCAAAAATGTAAGATTTGTAAGCTGTTTACAAAATGTTTTATTTGTTACAGTACGTAATTACAATTTTGTAAGATTAGTCTTTGCAAGTTTCATCTGAATCTGAGGCCATGGCCTGTGATGTCTTCCATACGGAATTATGCGCATTTATGACATGTCCAGTTCATCCGGTATTTAAAATTTTGCCACTCAATCATAATAAATGGACAATGTTATGTTAAATAATTTAAGAATTTATGTCATACTCGAAATGAGGTATTTACATATTTTCAATATTTTTATGCTGGGAAAAAATGTAAGATTTGTACGCCTTTTACAAAATTCGAGCTTAGCATTGAATTCATTTAAAGTTTTTAAGATGCGAAATGTAACCGGTAGTAACTACAATCATCATATTACCCGTTCAAAATTTCAGTTTTCATTCAATAGTCACTCACTGTAAATAAAGTTGAGTAAAATTGCCACCAAAGCAACTATTGAGCAAAATTTACTCTGACAAAGGTAAAATTTACTCAAGGCTGAGCAAAAATCTTTCAAGCTTGAGTAAATTTTACCTTTCTCAGGGTAAATTTTACTCAATAGTTGCTTTGGTGGAAATTTCACTCAAAATTGAGCAAATTTTAATAAAAATTATTTAGAGTGCTGATTACGATTTCTGACTGAAGATTTTCGTTCACATTCCGTCATTTTCGTTCAAACTCATTTCATTTCACTTCATCGGACTTCATTTCTTACTTCTCCCCATGTATTAAGCATAGGGTGAAAAATGAAGGAGTTAAAAATCCTTTCATTCACAGTAATTCATCTGAAATAACGAAATCCTTCGGTCATTTTCATTCAAATGACAGGAAATTTATTATCATTCACTACCATTCACCATCATAATCATTCATATGAATCAAATTGAACAGGTACAATTGTAGTGAAATCCTACGGTTGTATTTACTTGCCCCCATGGAGTTTAGACATTTTTGGCATGCTTTATTTATAATTTTTGCCCGACATGAAAATACGATTTTCATGTCGGGCAAAAATGTATGATTTGTAACCCATATATAGAATAAGGACTTGGCGTGTTGAAAGTAAGACATGTTGAGAAATATTTTCAAATCACCGAGTTTTAAGCAAGTAAATTAACATCTATGCAGATTATTATTGTGACAAAATTTTGAAAAATTTTGAAATGAATTTTCCAGTGGTGACGAATCGAAATTATGACGCTTATATAAGTCCGCAATTTATCTCAATATCTCAACGGACTCGGGGCTTATCGTCCCATAAGGGCAATGTTCTAATAAATTGCATACAGTGGCCACGGAAGCGTGGGTGGGGACCGAGGGACAATGTCCTCACGGTTGTTCGATGTCCTCATCATCTGCCCATGCTAAATAAACCCCTCCCTCCCCTATCCTACGATGTTAACGTCCCCTCAGCTTCCGTGGCAACTGTTTGCATATTTATTTTTGGACAAGTTAAAAATTGCAAGTAAAATGTAAGACTTGAAAGCCATTAGTAAATATGGTGTTTGTATTTAATCGTAAAAGTAGTTGAAGGTTGGTAATCCAAGAAATTGCTTTTTTTATATTTTTGACAAATACTTTACACAGATTTTACTCATTGAACATACATTCATATAGAAGATGTAGAGTAATAAGAATGCATAAGCCACATTGAGAGTCGAATTGACCAATAACCAAGGGGGACGAGGTTTTCGATCCCTCCCACCCAGCGATAGCCAATCAGAAATTTTTTTTAATTAAATAATTTTCATTGGATCTTTTTTTAATTTTCGGAGTCAGAGTTTATCAAAAATGCAGTAAATTGTATAGTTTGTACGCCGAAATCGAAAGAAATGTATATTTTTGATTGTTTAAGCAGCTGAAAAAACTGAGAGGTTATGGTGAAAAAGTCCGAAAACCTCGTCCTTGTCTGTTATTGGCTCTCAACGTGGCTTATGCAACCTGATGGAGTTGAGTCTTCTGGGTCTCCTCAATGGGTATGTTTCCCTGCTGATTTGAGTATACAAAGTTATGTGTCAACTGGAGCGACGGTGGCGCACATACCCTGTGTATTATTTAGTTGCTCGGTGAGAAGTGGTGGCGCTCGGGTGCAACACCTACCAGCGTATTATTAGTTGGTGAATGTGCATAGACGGCGCTCATAGTGTGGCTACTATCGCTCGTCCAGTACTCCTTCTAGAGAGAATAGTATAGTTCTGTGGGTCTCCTTTAGGAGGCTTATCCACTTTTCTCTGGATTTTACTCATCTTTGAACTTGATCCGCAAAGTGAAATGTGAACAAATGTTAATGTCCCCACATGTCCCATCAGCTTCCGCGGCCACTGTTTGCATAATTATTTTTGACAGGTAAAAATGTAAGACTTGAAAGCCATTAGTAAAATATAGTTTTTATATTTAATCGTTACAGTAGTTAAAGGTTAACCAATCAAAAAATCGGGTTTAAAAAAAATTTGAAAAATTCTTTAAAGAGATTTTGCTTATATTTGAACTTGATCCTCAGATTCTACGTATGAACAAACAGACAGATAACCATGATGGATACATAAGACGTAATTCGTGCTAAAAATATAAGATTTATTGCAACCCGTTTTCAAAATGTGAAATTTGATAAAAGTAATTCAAGATCATTTGATGAATCAAGTGATAAAAATTTACTAGGAAAATGTAGTTTTTATGTTTTATGAATA